TTTGAAAATAACATGAGATGGGCCTGTTTTCTTAAGTCACAGCTCATTAATTCACATCTCACATTCCAATTCCCCACCAATTTTCTTGTCATGTTATTGAGATTTTATTTCTGTAGTTTGATTTTCTTTTTTTTTTTTTTTAAATCAGCCTTTTAAATGAGATTAAATGCATAGTAGTAAATTCTTAAATAACCTACAAAAATACATGTCAGTTAGTGGTCATTGAAGTAGTCTACATCGTCAGTATATTGGTTGCAAAATATCTCAGCTGAAATTCTGTTCATCCTAAGTTGGCTGGCTCATAAATAACAGTTTCTGTGGTGCTAATGGTTAAAGGGGTGACACTCAAGCTTTACTTTGCATCCTGGTATAAACTTTCAACTTGTAATAACATCATATCATAATTATATCAAAGGTAGTTAAAAAAGTACAGTGATATATATTTGACTTAAACATCATAAATAATAATTGTTGGAAAACTGGAAATGATATACTATGAATAAAGGGAAAAATAGTTGCAGGATTTTTTTCCTGAATTTTACTTTGACTGTTCTCAGAGCCCTTTCGAATTCAACAAACTGGATGGATAAAAAAAAAAAAAAATTCAAGACAGCCAGCCTCTGACTGGTGATTATTTTAGGATTTTCAGGATGGCATGATGTTAGCTGCCTTGGAAAAGTGTTTGTTCCATTTTATGGCACTGTACAGTGTTCTGAACAATGATAAATACATGAAACACTTTATTTGTTTTATTTTAGAGCAATAAGATATTCAAAGCCTTCTCATAGTATTAAATACTTGGAACAGAACTGACTGCATGTGATGGGTGGGCACATGTTTTATCTTTTGTTTAGAGACTTTTTTTTTTTTTTAATTTTTAAACCTCCATAAATTCTTTCTGTTTCCAAACCTTTTACTTACAATTTTTAGACAAATGGCAGAGTAGAAGTCAGGGTTGTTTGGATGCTGCAATAACCCCTTTTATTTCAACATGGGGAGTTGAGATTTTTTTTCTTGCTTTCAAAAAATCTTAATAATGCAGTAGTATGGTAATCGAAAAAGAAGCTAGGTTTTGAATAAATTTGATTTTTTTTAATGTAGTTGATTAGATGTAACATTACAATCACAACATTCTAAAAAAATCTTCAGTATTTTATTGAGTTCAGTACTATATATATGACTGCGTGTGTGTATTTTAACCTACAATCTGTCAAAAAGCAGAAGGTTTTTTTATATTTACTCCTTCGTTTTGGTCCTTTATGTAAATGCTTCTCAAATATACTGAGAGTCCTTGAGAATTTCAAGCTGGATGAACTTTGAGCTCAAATTACTTTTCTGAGTTTATTTGTTAAACAATTATTTTGCATCCTTAAACGATGGGATCTTGTGATCCATATGCTTGCATTCCCTTGAGTCCCAGCAGGGAGCAAAGCAATGCGTCTAATATTTAAACACGGTGAAGTGAAGTTTCTTAGAAGCTTATTGTCTCAATCCTGTGAGATTTGCCAATTACTCTGTTGAGTCAGTCTAATGCAACAATTCCAAATGTCATTTAATAGTGATCAAACAATTTAAGTGGAAGTCAGCTTCGTACAACGTGAATGTCAAACATTTACACAGTACAACCACAGCTCTTTCAGTAAAACAAACTTAATTTGTCACAGAGTAATACTCCCCTCTCTATGGTGTGTGTATTGAACCATGTGTAGGCACATTCTGGTATGGTTATCACTGGCTTGGAGATTGGATAGTTGTCTCAGGTTTTCCCAACAGGCCATTTTTATGTAGTCCTTGCTCCTTTCTACAAAGGGAGAAAAGAAGGGAGAAAGCATATAATTTAGCTTTTATTCTTATATTAATATATTTTGCAAAAGATCGTTATAGATGACTTTTCAAGCAAACTTAGGGAACTGGCTCAAGAGTTTCTTCATTCCAGTGTTATTCAAGCAATCTTTGTAACAGCTTTTTTACACATTAATGCATTTTATGCAAAAGTGTGCTTGAGGATAACTCTTGGGTGATGTTGGGTTCACCTGCTTTAACAGGGAATGTACATTTGCCGGGAGATCAGAATAATAGCGTGTGCATATCTTATGTGATCTGGTTAGAGTATATACAGACAAAGAGATCTGCAACCACTCCTGGCTAGGATCTGCACGAAATGGGTAAAATAATTAACCTCCATTCTCTGCTTACCACTCCTCAAAATTTTTATCTTTTACGATACATTTAGATTTAGACAGTAAAAGGAGCTTAGGACTGAAAAATCTTCTCTCCTGTCCCTCATGTTTTTTGAAGTGATGTGCATCCTGTTCACCAATTTTCCATTACGCTGTTCTCCTTGTCACCTGCAGATCACCTCTGTGTGCACTGTCTGCCTCTCCCTCTGTGTATGGGAAAAGCACATTTCTCTTTGCCTGGTTGAGGTTTCTTAACAGTGAGTTAACAAAAGCCAGTTATGCTATGCTGCCAGCCCTAATTCTTCCTCCTCCTGTCTGAAAGCCCCTCTGGCTTTCCACAGATGCCAGCCAAGATAAAATTATCTATGTTTGGATGCCAGGAAGGCACCATGGATATCTACGTGACTCCTTAGCATCTGACTCTATATGGCAGTTTAGCAAATTTAACTTTCAGAAGAATGAGGTGTTACACAAATGTTTAATGTTTACATTTATATGGGGTGATTTTTTTTCACGCTGTGCTTGGAAATGGAGTTCAGGGTTTTGCTTATGTATTAGCCTTCCTAGTCTGGCTTTCTAGAGTTTCGACCTATGCTTACAAGCTGAGTGAGTGCTTGAACACCTTCCCATCCCCTGGTAAAAGCTCTCATCATAACCGAGTGTGGGACTGGGTATGTTCTTGTGTATGAATCATAGAATCACAGAATATGCTGAGATGGACGGGACCCATCGGGATCATCGAGTCCAACTCCTGGCCCTATGCAGGACTCCCCAAAAATCGCACCATGTGCTTGATAGCATTGTCCAGCAGTTTTTAAACTCTCAGGCTTGTTGTTGTGACCACTTCCCTGGGGACCCTATTCTGGTGTTCAACCACCCTCTGGGTGAAAAACTTTTTCCTGATATCTAAGCTAATGGAGTGGCGAAGGCAGTGATGTGAACTGAGAAAAAGCTTATCCTTGTGTTTAACTGACAGTGTAGATGCTACTAAACTGATTGGCTTGACTCTAGAGAACAGCATTTGGTTTTGTTCCCCACTGAGCAGTAAGATTTGTCCTCCATCTCTGAATCAGCCAAACTGGCTTTAAAATGCATGGTCTTTTATGCTCTTTTCTCCCTGCATGAATCCAGTGAAATGCAGCTGCTCTGGTTTTGGTCCAAGTCAGCCACAGAAAAATGTCAGATCTTCTGATGAGTTCTTAGCAATGTTGATGTGGATTTAAATGCTATCAAGCAGTGAGAACAGATGTATTTTTAGATACCCTTGTCAAGTGTAACATTGATGCATCCAATCAGTTCATTGTCATAATTTTTTGATTTATGTAGAGTGTTTTCCACATAACTTTCTTGGTGACCTTTTAGAGGAAAGACAAAATGGGAAATAACCTAAAGAAATGCCCAGTCAGCTTTTGGGAGACTTGCACTTGATGTTATGTCATGGTCATACACAACCATGTTTAGAGCTAAACAGCTGTGACTTACCTCACTGCTGACCTGCCACATTGGAGGTGTAAGTCAGGAGGTTCTCTGAAAACACTGCAAAAGGTGCACAGTCCATACATTTGCTTCTCTCCTGAGGCTGGCGAAAGCACTGGGATCTGCTGTGGCAGCTCAAGAGCTGAGAGAGGGACCTGCTGCAGGCCTTCCTATCTCTTGTTGTTTCTAAAAGGCAAAAAATGACACACAGGCAAACTTGGTACTGAATAGAGCTGCACTGGTGTGGCTCTGCAAGTCTGCTAGCTTTAAGGAAATAGGTCACCTGAAGTACCTGCTCTGCAGCTCTTACCATCCTTTGTTACTTTTAAAATCTGGGTGACCTTTAGCTGTGTGGTACGAGTGAACATACAGTGTTCAGAAAGGCTTAAAGTTTGAATCTGAGTTTCTTGCCTGCAATCTGCTTTTTCTGAAGGCAAAAATACAGAAACCTCCATTTAAAAATAGGATTTGACACAAAACCTGGCAAGAGCATGGTTAGGATTACATACTGAGAGATGAATTTATTTAACCTGAGGGCAGCAAGAGAGGATTACGTATTTTAATCCCCTCCGTTTCCCTAATGACTGTACAGAGTGCTGACACTTGCTTGGCTTGGAGAAGATGACCTGTACACAGAAGTGATTAGTGTGTGAGGTGAATTTTTTTTTTTTAACACCTCCTGCTGAAAACCAAATGCTTTCTCACAAAACAAAGCACATTTTGCATGGCCCTCATATGAAATCAGAGTCACTGTCACTCAAGTGGGACATGCAGCTTATAAACTGGTCTCAGATTGTGAAATTTGGGACCTATCTTCTCAAGGGTGATGGTTTTCAATGCTCTTGCAAGTGAGATGACAACTACATGGAAAATGCATTTCGGTAAGAATTGTGGTTTAACATTTCAGCATAGCTAGGTACTTTGCTGCTGATCTTGAGATGTTAACTTCAGCTATCTAATTTTTAAAACATACTTGTCAGTTCGGTTTTCCGTGGGCATTTTTACATGATAGAAAAATGAATGTACAGATGAGGCAAAAAATTGCTGTAAATTATTAGGTGTTTATTTCGGAGAGGCAAACGAATTTTGGTATGTTTCCAAATAAAATGTGGGGGGGTTTCATTATTTATTTATTTTTTTCACTGTCATCATAATTTCATTTTTCTGCAACAGGTTTTTTTTTTTTTAAAGATAAGCCCTGAATAGGGATACCCTTTTGGGCTGAGTACTGTTGTCTTAATAAGCATATTTCCTGTACGAACATTTGCAATGAAAAGTTTACTTTCTTATCAGTCATCATTTCTTGAATTGAAAATCACTAAGAAAAGAATTTTTTTGGGGGGGTATTTAATCCAGAATTATGCACTTGAGGGGTAGATTATACAGGTGACCCCTAATTTTTAAACTACAGGTTTACTAAATTTCTGTGGGTATGGAAAAAGGTTGAAGAAAAAAACCCAATAATATCTCTTTAAGTTATTCCAGTGTAATTTAACCCATATCTCTAATTTCTCTATGAATGTAAATGTCATGTAAATGTGAAAACTATCAACTTCTTTAAAGAAGCTAACTTTGATTCTGGTATTAAACTATGCTATCTGCTTTGTTATTTTCTTCATGACACCAACAGAATGGGAATGTCCCACAGCATGGTTGCAGCCATGGCTTCCATATATTATTGTAAGGGGACAGCTGTTGTGGGACTGGAGTCAGCGTCTTGTGATGCTCTTCCACGGCTTTTCTTATTCTCCTCATCACAGTGTCAAACAAGGGCTCAGTGTCAGCTGACAGAGGATTTGCCTCAGAGGGATCTTGTGAGAGATTGAACAGCAGTGGAGGGTCATGATGGGTTACACCATCACCAAAACATGGGCAAATTCCTCTTCTGAAACAGGCTCCAGAGGCTTCTGGTTGGAATACTGGAGTAGCATAATGAGCTTTCCACACGGTGCCACCTGTCACAGAAGAAGTACATTTGAACATCTTAATGGCATTAGGAATTGGGAGGGGTGGGGGATGTGTCGTGAAAGTTTGGTTCACGTTTAAGTGATCTGCTATGTCATTCCTAGGGCAAGCTTATGTCACACATGGGGAAGGGGTCTTGTGGAAGCTGTCAGGATTAAGATGTTCTTTGTGGCTTATGGGAACACACTGGCTCTGGGTAAATGCAGGGCCCTATACAGTATGTGAATGGTTAGCCTAATATTTTGAATAGAGGGAGTCTGACACTTTTTTGTGTCCCTTTAAAAATCTACAAGCCTCTTGGGGAGGGAAAGTGGAGAATGCAGTCCCCAATTTCTCGCTGCAAGTACTTGTAGGTGGTTCTTCTGCTGCCTCTGTATATCTGAGTGAAGAAGTACACCTGGGCAGAATTTCATCACAGTTTATTTCCATGCTCATGTTCAAGCACACTTTTTAATAGGGTGGTAATTGCAGGCCAAGAAAACAGTAAAATCTGGAGTCTAGTTTTTAAGTTAACATGATGAAGGCAGGTAGTTTGGAGCTTTAGGGCTTGCACATCATCAGGCTCTTGTACTGGCCACAGGACAAGCACAGGTCTGTGACTTGCAATGAAAAAATGGCAAATGGCTTGGACTAAATCTGAATGCAGCTCATCAGCACACTTTACTTCCTCCTCCTTTTTCCCCTATTCCTCACCCCACATTTAGAATACAGTACACTGAATTCAGAGGCAATTCTGTGCCCAGCAAGAAGACAGCAATTAGGTACTATGTCTGAAAAAAGAAGACAAGAAGAAAGGGGACATCTAACACTTGGAGCCACTTCTCTAATCCAGTGAGCACAAATAGCTGATAACTGCATTGTCCCTACATGGAATTTTCTTTTTACTTCAATGGAATTAGCTGAACTTTCCTTCCTTTCTTCTCTTAAAGGTGTTCTTTAAAGCCTGCAGCTTTATTCTTTGGTGTCTGTCTTGTCACTACTACTAGAACACTATTTTGTTAATAAATAAAATTTTAAAACTTCTGAAAAGATGAGGGGAAACAAATAACAGATATTAAGGCTCAGGTAATATTTTACCTTAAAAGATCTAGTGGCTAGTTGGCTGTGTATCTATTTATTTTCACCCTGTGGTTTCCACATCCTGCTTAAGCTATGCTTCTGCACTTCTGTGGAGGGATGACATCTCAATGGTTCTGAAATGTTTTGGCATAATAATTCCGTAACATTTCTAAATGTTAGATATCTCCATTTCTGAAATGGTGAGAGAAAGGATGATGAAGGTTGATTGGGCTCACTTTCTGATGGCTTACTAAGGACAGACAGATACTCCTTAGGTCTGTTTGAGTGTGTGCTTTGCTGCTGGCTGGATGAGCTCCATGTCCTTCAGCTTATCCCTGTCTTGTAACTTAAAGAACATTTGTCTTGTGACAAATATGGAAGCATCCTCTTGGATATCAGGGTTCCCAGAGCATGGGATTTGGGTCTTATGTTTGTCAGTCAGGTAGCACAGATACTTGCTACAAGGAGTTAAATAAGCACTTTCTGGGACAGGCATTTTTTCTGAGTATCTGGCTTAGTTGGAGTGCTGTTGAGATATTGGCAAAATAACCATTTATTAGGTAAATATGAGATGGAGAGGCTTATCTACCTCTACATAGGAATTTATGTGATCAATGTTCAGAAAAAAACTAACTAGTCATTCTTTTCCATAAATAATTGGGCTGAATTCCTTATACACTGTATGAAAATTTGGAGTACTGAGTGTAGAGTGTCTGATGCTGCTAAATTTTAACATTCACTTTTCATGGCTGCAAATAATTACTGGAAATGCAGAGTGAGAGACAGCCAGGTCCTTGTTAGTTCACTTTGAAGGATACAGAGAGGCTGATTGTAATTAACCTGTGTTGGTGAGCTGAGCAGGCAATTGGTTTACAGAAGGATAAAAGAAAAAAAAAAGGTGGTAGAAATCAATGCTGATAAAAGCAGTGGGAGTTGCGCTCATCTCCAAGAGGCAAACAGCGTATGCAATTTTCTGATAGAATCAGAAGGTGCATGTGAATTTTAGGGCAACATGTTAATTTAATATGTCCAAGGGAAAGGAAACCTGCTGCTTCAGTACAAACATCTCTCAACCCCATCTGGTAACAATCAATCAGTTTAATGAGCAGAAAGAAATGTACTGTCACTAATAAGACTTATTGTGCTGGGGTAAAGGAAAGGACTCTTTTACTTATAAACAAAGGATTCTTCTGGCTTCAGTGAAGGGCTTAAAGGATGGATCCTGCCTGGGTGACATCAAAATACAATGGCTTCATATCTAGGCTGACCAACAGACAGATGTAAATGGACACTAAATAAATAATATTAGTGTGATTTACTTACAGATGAGCTAAAACTCTCTAAATAGTCTGTCAGCCCAGTCAGAAGAAATGGCAGTTGGAACAAAGAATCAAAACTTATATCTTGGTTGAAAGCTGAGCCACATATTTGATTAGCTAGTCTTTCATAGGCAGAACATTGCAATGTTTTCAGGACCCTTGCCATAAGCAGTTGAAGTTCAATGGGAAAAACTGTAGAAAGGCATGCATAGGAAATCTAGCTGTGCATGTAGCTTCATAGGAACATGAACTGCCACAAAATACATCTTGCCTCTGCATAAGTATGCGTAGCTACTTATGTAGAACTTATATAGCTTAGAAGAACTAGTGATGAAAGCTGGCTGAGGAGAATAGCAGTCCTTCAACTTGAAAAGCAGCTCTTCAAATGCATAGCTGGAGTGGAGTATGTATTTAGCCTTTCAGTAGGGAAATGGGGCATGACTCATCTAGCAGGAGTTTTCTCCAGGAGTCCGGCAGTCAGACACAGCTTTCTCTGCCCAGAAACTTTGTTTCCAGAAAAAAAATGTGTGTTAAAAGGAAACAGAGATCTCTAAGAATGGTGACTGATTTAGAGACATAGGAGATTTGAGTTTCTGACTGCTGTTCTGCTCTAAATAATGTGAACGGGTGACTGTGCTTGGGGTTAGATTGTAGAATCATAGGATTGTTTAGATTAAAAAAAGACCCTTAACATGATCATGTCCAGCACTGCCAAGTCCAACACTAACCCATGTCCACAAGTGCCACACCTACACGTCTTTTAAATACCTCTAGGGATGGTGACAAAAACACTTCCCTGGGTGGCCTGCTCCAATGCTTAACAAACCTTTTCATGAAGAAATTTTTTCTAATATCCAGTATAAACCTCCCCTGGAGCAACCTGAGGCCATTTCCTTTTGTCGGCTGACATTACTTGGGAGAAGAGACTGATGTGATGAAGCCTGGACCTACTGGTAGTTTTGGTGTGGGGCCAACTTGCCACCAGTCTGTCAGGTGAACTGATCTCTCGCATCTCCACTGGCAGCTCTAAGAGCTGTGCTCCCATAGTCAGTCTCTTAACACACTGGTCTGCTGTGTCCTGGGTGCGTGGGGAGGGAGGTTCAAATCGGCAGCCCTGAGGTTTCTGCCAGGCATGGGCCATGCCCCCGTGTGCTCAAACCTCCGGCCAGGATCACAGGGTGCGTGCTCCAGGTCATGAGCAGCTGCAGTGCTTTGGGAACGAAGCCACTGCGCTGGGGGGCTGACAGCCCTCCCTCTGCTCTCCCACAGCTGTAGGTGGCCTTTCATACGGGGCACCTCGAGATGCGAAAACGAAACACGAAGCAGCTGGCTGCGCCGAAGGGCCGGGAGGTTAGGTTTTATTTTATTTCGTTTTATTTTGCTGTTTAAAACCTCCCCGCTAAAGCGCTCTCCGCCGCCCAGCAGGCCGCGGCTGTGGCGGCCGGCGGTGCCGCGCTGCCCCCTGGCGGCGCGTTGTGTCCCCGGCCCGGCCCGTGCCCGGCACCCCCCGCTGCTCCCCGGAGCCCGCGGGGCCGGGCGGGGAGATAACCCCGGACCAAAACCGATCGCCGAAAGTGCTAGGTTATGGGCTTGGCTCAGCTAATCATAGAACCACGGGAACCTTTGGGTTGGAAGGGACATGAAAGATCGTCTAGTTCCAGTGTTGGGTTCTTGTTGAAAGTTCAGTAAAGCATTACAGCTGCAGTCAGCTTGTCTAATGCCACAGCTGAAAAACACGAAACAAATAAGATAGGACTAATAAAAAGAAACCAAATACCGCTTAGGATAAAGACCTTCAATGCACAGTTCCTTTTGCTTCAATCCTACACTGAAGTTGATCCCGCATGCTTATGCATCAAAAGTGATACAAACACTGCAACAAAATGGGGATTCTTGAAGCTATGCTTCCCAGGAAGCAAACCCCTTCATCTCAGGCAAGTCAGGACAGCTAACAATGAGGCCATTCTGCACTTTGCAGAAGAACTGAGAGTTTGAGACAATAAACTTACTCCAGATATATGTATGCATATTTTTACATGACACTCTCTTGGGAGCTAGAGATCATTACATGGTCTGTGATTTGCTGGAGGGGGATGTCGATACTCACTGTCCTTCTGGTGCCACCGCACTGCGTGCAGAAACACACCGCAGTAGTGAAACATGAACTCGTGCCCGGAGTGTCGAACTGACCCACGCAGCAGAGGCAGCAAAGTGCGCCCATCGATTACCCTGAGGGAGAGAACCGGAGTCACCAGACTGCTAAAGGATTTCAGTCTGCAGCTGGAGCACGAGCACCACTCACTCTATGTATGCAGCATTAGAATTTCAAGCGTCATCTCTCAACTAAGGTACTTTTTAGCTAATGAGCCCTGAGATTTTTAATTGTGTGAATGGGTGGAGATCAGGAATTAGCACTTACTAGCAGTTTTTGCAAATACAGCTAGTTTACACGTCCTGCCTGGGGAGATAAGTCACCACTGCTGTAATTTTCCTGGAAGTAGGTGATAAGCACAGGTTAATTTTGCTACCTGAAATGGAAGTCACTGAAGTAATTGACAGCTCTGTGAGCTTTAGGCTTTGTAGGAAAAAAAAAAAAAAAGCCACCTACTGAATTGTCTAAGAGTTGGTTAATTTACACACCACCAGTACTTTTTTTGCTTTTTGCTGAAATGACTTAGCCACCTACGCTTTCTTGTGTTCTTTAGAGGAGGCTAACATAGATACTAGAAGCTGTTTGCTATTAAGGAAGCTACTTCTTTGGTACCGGCAGAAAAATGCCGGTCATGTGCCATATGCTCCACCTTCCCTACTTGTGAATAATCAGGCTTCCTAGGCTTCCTGTCCTAGTACTCTAACAGGACCAACCACCTTTGTGAAAATCTGTGAATTTTTGATTTTAAAAAAGTAAAATTAAAAAGGGTGGCTTTGGTTGTGGGTTTTGTTTTGGTTTTTTGTTGGGTTTTTTTTTTACAGTCATCCTAGTGTCCCAAATCAACCAAATTGCCTTTTGGTGATTAGAGGACTGAGATAGCTAAATGACCTTTGATAAAAGATACTGGTTTTTCCTTTGCCTTTTCCATACAAGCAGACAAGACAGGGAAGGCTATGCAGAAAGTAAGTTAGAGAATTGCCTGGTTTAGAAACAATCAGAATTTAACCTGTGGCTGTCAGGATGCATGACTTAGTTTCTATCTAAATCAAGAAAGAGAAGCAAATATGGTTCATGAAGCCACCTCTGTACCTGTCCTGAGGCACTGCCCCTCCAGCTAAATGAACTACTGTAGGAAAAATGTCCATAAGGCTTGTAGGTTCATCAATAACTGTCCCTGCAGGCAACACTCCCGACCACTTAAATATTCCTGGAACACGGATTCCTCCTTCCCATCCTCCCATTCCTTTTCCACCTGTTAAAGAAGAGGAGGAAAGTTTAACAAAAAGATAAAAGAATAAGAGATACTAGATGTTCATTGTACATGTATAATAAAAGGTTTTAACATTTTTAGAATATTCACGTAACTTTAATGAGAGCACACTAAATCCTCTAGAACAGAAGTGACTACGTTGGAAATTCTGTTCTTCAAAAATAAGTCTTATTAACATCTTTATTTTACACTGCTTTCTTGGGTGGCACATATAATAACTCACTACTAAGCAGCATTTTTGGCAGAAGAGGAACAATTCCACCCTCTGATGCCTGAGAAGTCATTCTGACCCAGAGCTTAAGTTGAAAGTCATTTCAATTTAAGTATATGAGAATACTCTCCACATTCCCTAAAAACATGCCCAAGAAAAAAAATCTGTTAATAAAAATCAGTTAATAAAATAAATGAATTAATGAATTAATTAAATAATTAAGAGCAGAATCTGACTTGTCGATGGAATAGGGGTTGCAGCCCCACTTGGTGCCTGAGGAAGGGAAATTAGACAGGGCAAGCTTGATTGTCAGCTCACAATCAAAGACAGCAGGAACATTACAAAATTAATTGCAGTTCTGGAGGGCAGCAAGGGGAATTAGGATAATATTTGATTGCCCTCCAGGAGAATACAGTCCCAGGGAGGCTCTGAGGTGGTCCGAAATGGAAGAGTGTAGAACCCATGCATTAAATAGGGAAGTACTCTGAATATGCTGCAGTGACAAAGACTTTCCACCTGCATTTCTGTTGAAATTGTCTTGAGGTAATACAAAGAGTTTTTCTTAACTTGGTTTCTCTTGCATTCCTCCGGTCTTCTAAATTATTTTCTCCATGCAGTCTCTCTTACAAGTCAAAAAATTCATTGAATAGTATTTCAAAGTGAGAACCATTAACTAATTACAGATATAAGTTACAGATGTCAAGGATGGGAATATTAATGAAACAGTGTGGTTCAAAGTCAGAACTCCAAGGGAAGGATCCAGTTAGAAAACAAACAAAAATTGGAAAAGGATTGAGCTCAGGTACCTATATGACCTTTTCTCTGTTATTCCTCCTATCGACGGCAGAAATGACAAATTGTGGGTGGAAAGTGTTGTAGGAAAACTGGCGAACAAAGCTTGAAGGCAGCTGATTAGCTCAGCTAATAAATCAGCAGCTGAATGGTAGCTTACATTAGCCCCAGGCTTTGCAAAGTAATACTGTACCTTGATACAAAGGAGGTGTGCTAATAGTTACAACTGAGAGGCAAGGTTCCCAGAGCTTGGATTTAAAGGCTGACAAGGTGTCATGATGGAAAACAGACAGGGCAAGTCCGACTGCTTCTGCAATAATCTTTGTGCTATGTAAAATAGTGGTATCTCATGCTTTGTCAATCAGCAGAAGCTCTTCTCATTATTTGGATGTGTGTCTTATTTGTCTTCTTGTTTTCAATATGCTGTTTCAAATAGCAGCAGTGAGTTTTACAGATATTTATTAATTAAACTGTATTTTTTAATCTTGCTAGTTAGTTTCAGTGGGATGTCCCCTGTTCTGCCATGTGTGGACATAAATGGGAATGCTTTTCTGTTATTGATATCTAAACTGATATTGTATCTTCTTTTGCCTTCTCTCTAAGCAGGCATGATTTCATCACTGTCCTCTCATACTGAAATCTCTAATGACATTTACCTTTCCTGTCTGGCCTCTCCTGTTACTAATATACTTGTGTTCAGCTGGTAGAAGTGAATTCATTAGGTTAGATTCTAAGCTATTCAAATGTGTCTGTTGGCCTTTTTGCAACTGTTACTGGTATGGAAACTTCATATCAAGAAATAAAGGCTCATTTTGCATTTGGGACTGTTCCTAGATGGATCCCAGCTGTATCAAACATTGCTTGTGTGGCCCATCAAGTAACTTGCTACTAGACAGTGTGCATTGTCATGCTGAGCAAGGTCAAGGTGCACACAACTCTTCTTCCATAGGGAAATAAGTGAGGGGTACAGTTTTCAGACTTCATTATACAGTAAGTGCCAACCTGTGCAAGCTGTCACAGTAGCTTTTCAAGGCTTAACAGTCTGGAGGGGGCACATGCAAGATTTACCATAGATCTTCATTTCAGATCTATAATCCAAGATTGTAATACCAGCATATAGTTTATTAAATTTAATCTGTCTGAATGTATTTTAATCTATCATTTTCTTTTTAAGAGGAAGTCTTATGCATGTACACACTAGCAAAATTTTACCTTTATAGATCCCATTCCATCCACCCAACTGAGAATTTCTTCTGCGAGCCTCTAAGGATCCTCCATGATCAGATGCAAAATAAATTAATGTGGTATTCTTCAAGCTTTCTTTGTCAATAACATTCAGAAGCCTTCCTATAAACAAACCATAGCATCATAATTACATCAGGAGATGCACTCAGATTTTCTAGGTCTTGACTCAAAATTCAGTGAAGACTGAATCTTTCCATTTACCTGAATGAGTTCTGTTATTATCTACCACATTCAATGCGAAGAGACCTCAATAAATAAGAGAGATGGGCAACCACCAATAGTATGAAGTTTAACAGTGGAAAGTGCCAGATTCTGCACGTGGGATGGGGCAACCCTGGTTGTGTGTATAGACTAGGGAATGAGAAGCTGGAGCAAAGTGCTGCAGAAAGAGACCTGGGGGTCCTGGTCAGTCGCAAGGTGAATGAGAGTCAGCAGTGCCCTGGCAGCCAGGAGGGCCAACCATGTCCGAGGGGGCATCAGGCAGAGCATCACCAGCTGGTCGAGGGAGGGGATTGTCCTGCTGTGCTCTGCACTGGGACGGCCTCACCTTGAATATTGTGTGCAGTTTTGGGCACCACATTATAAGAAAGATATTAAACTATTAGAGAGTGTCCAAAGAAGGGCAGTGAAGATAATGAAGCCATGTGAAGAGCAGCTGAGGTCACTTGGTCTGTTCAGCCTGGAGAAGAGGAGACTGAGGGGAGACCTCATTGCAGTCTTCAGCCTTCTTACAAGGGGAAGGCGGAGGGGCAAGTACCAATCTGTTCACTCTTGTGACCAGTGACAGAACTCGAGGAAACGGTATGAAGCAGAGTCAGGGGAGGTTTAGGTTAGACATCAGGAAAACGTTTTTCAACCAGAGGGTGGTTGGGCACTGGAACTCCCCAAGGGACTGGTTACAGCACCAAGCCTGTCTGAGTTCAAAAACTATTTGGACAATGCTCTCAGGCACGCAGTGTGATTCTTGGGGTGTCCTATGCAGGGCCAGGAGTTGAAGTCGGTGATTCTGATGGGTCCCTTCCAACTCAGAATATTCTATAATTCTATGAAATAATAATAGCCCAACAAAAAGCAGATGAATGCTTATAAAATTTGTTTATAGTGTCTATAAAAACAGGAAAATAAAAATTACCACCAACTGGAAAATAATTTAAATGATTGACCCTTTTATTCAAACTACTCAGAATACTCAGTCAACTCTATTCTGTAAATTCTCTGAGTCAAGGAATATGCCTCAAACATCTTGAAAAGCTTAAATAATAGTGCTGTCTTGATTAGTAGCCATAATAAACTGCCGTGTCTCACCAGGAACTGAGCAGGGACTCTGAGACCAGGCTACATACTATCAACCAAAATCATCTCCTGATAGCAGTGATAAAAACCTTGTGGACTGTAATTCAAACCTAATTTAATAAGGAATGGTTTTGTACTGATAACATCAAATGTTTATACAGAATGTGATTTATCTTAGATTGGTTGTCTTCATCAGCTTCTGCATCAAGTATATTTGCCAAGAACAGCTTCCATAGCTATAGAAGCAGCAGCAAAAGGTGAACTGCACGAGGAAAAAGCATAATGTAATATTTAGCATCAGCACCCCTTACATCTTCTAAGACCAGACAGAGATGGAGAAATGTCATAATTTTGATTAACAGCACGATCAAGGACATATTTGATTATATGTCTGCATTTAACACTTCAGCACAGGAGTGTGTCAATTAAAAAAGATAAAGAACAAATCCTTACAGAGAAAGTTTAAGCTTTCATCTTAAGAAAGAAAAAAAAGAAGTGTGGTTATGGTATGGCAATCTTTGAAACCAACTGTGTATCCGAGGCATGATTTTTACATGTGCAAAAAGGGAGTCCGGTGATCACTCCTTTAAGTTCTTTTCCACATTCAAATAAATGAAGAATTTTCTTCAAGACCAACACTTACCCACCATCCAATCCATCTCCTCTACATTATCTCCATACAGGCCATGCCTGCTTCTTCCTTGAAACTTCTCTGTGGTAGTGAGAGGGGTATGAACATGTAAAAGGGAAACGAAGAGAAGAAATGGTCTATGCTTGTTTCTGAAATAAAAGAAAACAAGGGTCATTTCTCTTCAAACTGTCACTCAAAGCAAAATATAACAGTGGTATTGTACTTACTATCTCAATAAATATTATTATTGTGATCTAAACAAATTTTTTTTTTATTTTGATATCTTTTTGCTTTTGAGGTTTTGGGAGACAGAGGGGTTTAACACACTCTCAAGGATGTTTGTTCTGTATTAAGATCAAAACAGTAATGAGCCCTTTCTTTTTCATGTTCCAAATTAGACATGCTAGAACATTAAATAAGCAACTAGGAAAAGTTGTAGCCGAAAGACTGACACAATCTCAGAGGCAAGGAGAATAGGACTTGCTTGCCTAAACTTAAACATGGATGTATGTCACTGAACATTTGAAGCATCCTCGTGGAAGAGGCAGATATGACACTGTAACCACAGTGAAACCATGATCCCTTAAACATCAGGCCAGGTAGGATATCCTAGGAACCTAAGATTACCTATACTCAAAGTTTTACAGAAGGAATATATTTTACCTCCAATTTCCTTGAGAAAACAAACACACAACCCCAAAACCCTGACAGAAAGAGTATAGTCTTTTTCAAGGATATTCCCAGACTTAACACATGAATAATTTAAACACTTAGTGGTTTGTTCAATTCCAATTGAGGTTACTGGTAGAAATGAAGGACACTTGTCAGAAAAAAACCCAAACACGAAACTAAACAAAACTCACTATCACTCTTCTGCTTGTAAAATATTAACTTCATATGACACTTTCTATAACAGTCCATTTACCAGTCTAAGACCATTTTTCTGTTCCTACTGACAGAGGGCACAGTCCTTGGCCAGGACCCCTTTGTCTCAGCTGAACAAAACATAAACACCAGAATAATCATCTTCCTTTTCCCAAGGAACTGACCAGCGATGTTGCCAAGGTTTAGGAATGGTGCTTTCCAGTTTAGTGCTCCCACTGAGACTCTCCAAACCACACTGCTGCTTGCCTGCTTTCCCCCCTTTCTCTCCCCCCTGCAGCAGGCTGGAGAGGAGAATTGGAGGCACAAAAGGTAAAGGTCACAGGCTGAGATAAGAACAGTTTACCGGAAACAGCAATGAGATCATGAAATGAACAGTAACAGCAACAATATTAGTAACAAAAGTGTAGAAGAGAGACAAACAAGTGATTCACATGCAAAACGCTCAGAACTGGAGTTACCGGACCACTCCCTCTGCCATGCTTACTTGACCGGGAGAGAGGTATAGAATAAACTCCGTATCCCTTTGTAGCCCCCAAAGGGTGCTGCAAAAATTAACCCTCTCCTCATCAGAACCAGGACAGATGTATAAGACAAAAGACAGCAGCTGGATGCTGACAGGTAGGAAAATGCCAGAAATTAACAAATTACTGGCCAGCATTAGGATGGAGAGTTCAGCATGCCAGCTACCTAACCTAGTGTTATAGGACACAATAATGACATTATTGTTAAAACCCCTTAAAATGTGATACAATTTTTGTTGATTACCTTTTAATGAATGTAACTGCCTCTTTCAGTATATTAAAAGCAGTTCTGTTTAGGTTCATAGGTTGTTCAGTGATATCATGGTTTCTCATCAGGATACAGTTCCAGTACTTGGTGAAACCATAGCTGGAGAACCAGGAGAGGAAGTGAAGGAGACCACAGATGGCCAGACAGATGATTATTTTCCATTTTACTGGGAAAAAATTGGCAAGTTTTCCAATCACAAGAGTAAATACTGCAAGGGTGATCATCTGTGTGTAAAGCCAATACTTATCTTGCAAAGACTTGGCCAGTTCAGGGTCGTCTGTGCCTTGACACTCATTCAAAAGGGTAAAAGGCATGCCATAAAAATAGTCAAAGCCATGATTTAAAGGATGGTGGCAGTGATCACGGCGGGTTTTGCAGTTCACACCCATATGCCACTTCCCTGAAAATATAAAATAAAGATCTTAAATCCAACATCATGACTCCTGGGTGTGCTTGCCTGTATTTCTAAGGGGTTGGCTGTAACCCTCAGTTAAGGTGCAGCTGAGGGAGGAGCTGGTGTGGAATGGGGATAGATTCAAGGAGCGACAATGCATTGGCAGTTTATCTGTCTAGAACAGCTGCTTCTCCTCGTCTATCAGTTTAAATTCCATGTAGGGCAATGGCCCAGCTTAGACATATCCTTGAATAAGAACAAATAAGGTTGCAATAGTTGGTGCTTCTTATTTTTCACATGATGAAGTAGCCATGCATTAACAGGTAACATGGTGGGGAGAAACTGAAGACATCCTTGTGTCAAAAGAAACAGCTAAGTGCAAAAATATGAAATATTTTACACAAAATTTCTGTCTGACCTTCATAATCTTGGAACAAATTTCAGGAAGAAGATGTATGTATTGGCTCTGTGTGGCCATACTCATCCTAAAATGAGTAGCAGAAATAGGCCATTCCAATTATCCAGTACAATTGGATATATCAGAATATGTAATACAGTGATAATGAACCTTAATTAAGTCATATTACAGAGCAGTGTAATTATCCTGACATTGAAGGACAGACAGTCTATAACCATGGGCTTAGGAGCTATTACCTAGACAAATAACTTCTGAGAACTGCTGACCAGTCCTGCACTTGTGTACATGAATGTAGTTTACAGTGTAAGCTATATCAGACTGCAGTGAGCAGGGTGTGAAGTCAGTACATCACTGAGACTTGCTTCAATTTAGGAACTAAATGACACCTCAGTGTGCAGAGCTGAGCAGAGATGTGAAAAGCACAGTAATTACAACTAAGCACAACACACCTTTGACTTCATCAAAAGGAGTTTAAAAAAGAGAGATGGTTGAAACACACAGCCTTTAATCGCTCTTCAGTCAAAATTAGCAAAGACTTAACAGGATTTTCTTTTTTCAGACATGTATTTTGAGCCAAGGCCCACTGAAGTAAATGGGATTCTTTGAGCTTTTTTTTGTAAGGGTTTCCTTTTGCAGAAATAAAGGGACTTTTAGCATCCTAACTGTGATAATAAGCAGGATGCTTAAATAAAAGAAAATCTTGCCACCAGGTATCACAGAATGGGTAAGGTTGAAAGGGACCACAGTGGGTCATCTGGTCCGACCTCCCTGCTCAAGGAGGGCTGTCCTGGCACATTGCGCAGGATTATGTCCAGACAGTTCTTAAATATCTCCAGTGAGGGTAGGTCCACAGCCTCTCTGGGAAATCTATTCCAGTGAACAGTCACCCTCACACTAAAGAAGTTCTTCTTATTTTCAAGTGGAACTTCCTGTGCACCTTTTTCTGCCCATTGCCTCTTGTCTGACTGCTTGGCACCACTGAGTAGAGCCTGGATCCTTCCTCTTGACACCGTCCCTTCAGATACTTCTACATGTTGATGAGGTCCTCTCTCAGTTGAACAGGCCCAGCTATCTCAGCCTTTCCTCATAAGACAAATGCTTCAGTCCCCTAATTATCTTCATTACTGATGAATAAGTCAAACAATACTGGGCCCAGTATTGACCCTTGGGGACAGCACTAGTGACAGGCCTCTAACTACACCCTGTGACACTGATTACAACCCTCCAGGATCTACTGTTCAGCCAGTTCTCAATCCATCTCACTGTCCACTCATCCAATCCATGCTGAGTTTGCCTATGAGGATGTTATGAGAGACAGTGTCAAAAACCTTGCTGAAGTCAATATAATTAAGACTACTGTGCTGAAGTTGATACAATTAAGACTACTGGTGTCTCAGTACCAACCAGCAGACAATATTTTTCTGCTCTAATAGATCAGTAAAAATCTCTGTTGTTTCATTCTAAAGCAGTCTGGACTGGGCAAACAAGATTTTTTCCTTTGAATTTACTTCCATTTGCACTGTGAATTTATATATTCCATATATTCTCATTTTGGATCTATCAGATATGCTTTACTGACACTGGGACTTGTGGATAGCATTCTAAAAACCCTGCTGATTTTGAAAGTTGTGCATACAAGAAAATCTAGTTTAACTGATCCTAGACATTTTGCAAAAAAGAAATGTATGTACAGAATCAGGCTAATTTGAATAATAAGCAATTAAAAAGTGACAAGTTGCTCTGTCTCATACCTACAAGTGCTGTAGAATAACCTTGCTGCTGCAGTATTCTGGCAAAAGTAGTTTCATTTGGTGGAAGCCCTCCAGAACACCCGTTCCAAAAGAGGACCTGCTGTTGAGTGCTGGAGGCCATGCCTACAGAGGAATAATAGTCTTTAAAATAAAACAAGCCAGATTTCAGATTTTCAGTCTGCTCAGAATGTGCTTTCTAATGAATGGGACTCAGTTGTCTAAGCCTAGTGCCTTTTTATAAACCACTTAGTACGACGTGGGATATTCTGATCGGCCTCCAGAATTATGGCTCTTCCAAGTCCCGTGTCATTATATGCTACTCCAATGCAGATGCCTCAGCTGTGCTGGGGTGTCTACAAGTGGCAGGAAGACGGCTATGTTTGGACATTAGGCAACGTCTTACAATCAAAGTTCTATCAAAATATAATGTTAAAAAAAAAGAAAATAAGTTTTTTATAGAACAAAAGGTTCACAGAGTCAGGGGGACACACTTCTGAAATGCACAGTTCACGATTACATTTCTCCTTAAGCAAATCAGCATCACATCAGAGGTGCTGCACGGATTACTATTGCCTTATGCGGTGGTTGAAGTTTTCTGTCATAAATTTACATGGCTGAAGTAAACTGGTTTTAAAACATAATAACTGAGAACTATTCCACAGTCTGACGCATTTCACTGTGAAAAAAATTGCCAGGATATTAAAAATATTACATTTATTATAATCTTAATACCACTAAACAGGAAGCATTTGCATAATTTTCTTCTTCATTTTTCTGTCTGTAGGTGCTTTGTGCTGTTTAGATTTTTATCCATTTAGCCACATTAAATGTGCTTTATGTGGGCATTTTCCCATAGAAATCAATCATTACTCATCTCTATTTTTTCCCATCTCACTGAAACTCCAAATCCCAAGATTAACTAGTCTTTAAAATTGTTTGTTTAAGGGGATTTTTAATATCAACACTGACTAGACTAACTACATCAAACCATTAGAGAGCGGCCCAACCTGATCTGATGGGGTATCTGCCAGTCAGGAAAGCAGCTCTGCTTGGAGTACAGACAGCAGCTGCAGCAATGTGCTGATTAAGTCTCACTCCTTCCTTTGCCAAGCCATCAATGTTAGGAGTCCTAAAGAGAAAAATCCCATCTATGATAAAAACATATTACACAGAAGTTCATGGCATCCCACTCCTCTTAGTTTTGTGGAGAACATCACCATCAAATTTACAAAAATCTGTTTACCTACAGCTCAACTAGAAAAGTTCTGTGTTATATATATTTTTGAGACACCTTGACTCCTTAGAAATTAGTTTTCCATGGATACGTATGTTTTTATTAATAACTAAGAAAAAGGGAGAGGGGGAGGAAGAGAAGGTATTTCAGGTCTGTCTCATATCAAAATCTCATGCAGCATAGGGAAAAAGAGTCTGTTAATAGATACAGGAAAACACAATATCCAAGACTATAACAGGCTAGAGCAAAGATAGGATATCTCTACAATCATTCTCTCAATCAATCTACATACAGATTGATAACTGCACTAGGGATAAATATATTACATAGTCTAAGCTGTCTAAATGCCTAGTCTAAGCTGTCCTAAAATGTCTACTGAAGTTGTTAACTGATATTAAATTCTAATCTCAGTTCTTCATCTCCCTGGAGTTGTGGAAATTTGTACGTTATGCACATGCCTGACAAGTACACTGCACAGGCATAATTGCAAAATTTTTAAGTCCAAGAAAGTTTCTCAAGCATGCCTGTATAATTTTGACTGGAGTAGAAATTACTGTAGAGCAACTATTTTGTACGTAGGTTGAAAAGAAGTGTATCTAATCAGTTAATACTGAATTTTTTAATACTGTCATCAGTGCTTTTTTTACTTAACTTCACCAGGAAGGGATAATTTATTTCATACCTTATTGTATCATTGCCATAGCAACCCACATCTCCAATACCAAGATCATCAGCCAGTATCAGCAAGAAATTAGGTTTTGAAGGACTTGATACACAGGTTCTTGGAAACAAGCATAAAATTAGCCAAATGTTTAAATAGCTCCTAAAAGTAAAAGTAAAGAGGTAATATTACAAAAAACAACTTTAGGCTTTACAACGGACTTCAAACTATTATTCTTAAAGTTTTATGGGGACTCAGTATAGTCAAACAGCAACCAAATACTGCCAGTAGATGGAGCTCCTGAATATTTAAAAAAGTCCTTGAGCTTTCTATTATCAGTGATTTTTTAAATTATTATGATTTTTATATTATTGAGTTATTTATTATTGTTATTTATTCGCACAGAAATTTTGTGTCTGCATTTCTTTATCGACATATACACTGATCTCAGCAGATGTCCCCAGTAGATTGAGTGGTTGGATACTCGCAAGTGTCCTGAGGCACTCCTTGCACAGGGGTGTGGGATGGTCCTGTTAAGGCTCCTGGAATGAGTGGGACAGGAGCATGAAGGTAACTGGTGTGAAGTCACGCTGGTCATTATGGCAGTGGCTTGACTATTGCATCTACTGCACCCATTCCTACATACAGTGTTTGAAAAGTGCTCCTTAAGCCATGGGACCATCTGCAAAATCAAGGTGCAGCAACAAGCTTAAACTTGATTATCTTCCTAAGATATATCCCTAAGAATATCTCCATACATGTTTTAGTTGCTCAAGGTGTTTGCAGTCAGAAGCTTACAGATACCCATATGCTAAAATATATCTTCTGAGTTCATTAATAGATACTACAATGTGTTAAATGTGTAGTAAGTACTAGTACTAATACATAGTAAGTACAGTAAGTCCTATACTACATATTATACATACTCCTAAAACTCTGTGTCTTATAAAAGTAGGGTAAAAGGTCTTGAAATACCAATAAATCCAAACCTGTATTAGCTACTCTTAGATCCTCAATGAGTTGTGGCAGGAGTGACAGGGAGAAAGTAGAGATTTGTTTACATTTTCTTAAGAACAACACCTAAAACCAAGAAAGACTCTCAGTGAATGTTTTTCTTACCATTGTTTTCCCTGATAAACTTCATAGTTTTCCCTTGTATGAAACAGGTCCATAATTGGTCATATGAATTCTGGTGAAAAAGCAAAAAAAAATCAGAGCCCAGCAGTTCCAGTGATCTTGCACGCAGTTCCTCAAGATCGAACCTGTTTCCAACTTCTGATAACTCCAGAAGGACTTGTGGGAATTTGGAAAGAAGGCTAAATGTTAATGACTTTAAAAAAGTGCCAAAGGTGCCTATTACGCAATACACACACAGAAATGTTGGTGTTCACTGAAAGGAAGGTTTTCACCATTTTACAAATGAGGTAGTGGTAAGTAAAACTAGTATCTCACTTTCTACTTAACCTCAGATCAACTTTAAGGAAAATAATCTAACCTTTACTGTAAGATTAGAAAATACAAAAAATACATCAAATAAAAGCCATCCTGGAAACTAATATTTGCAGTGTAATTCTTAGAGAAGGGACTGTAATGTTTTCATGTTTAGATGCCATCTAGTACATTCCAAGAGGTGTTTATCTCTGAATGTTACTAAAAACTATCTGTAAACATAAATGTCTTTATTTCCTTAAAGAACTCCAAAGCTTAATGCCATTTATAAATTTAATTTGCTGGGTTTTCTACCTGCCAACTCTATGAACTCAACCTTTAAAAATCTAGAAATAATCATTCGGTTTCTAAATATTTATTTTTGTCTCACAAGGCAAACTTTATGAGTGGAAGTGATTTTCTATGCTTGCTGAAAGAGAGAGCACACTCTTTTTCTCTTTGGAAAAAGAATGGCTTGGAAAATGCGCTCCTTTTCCTTGTGAATGGCCTAAGGGATTTTCAGAAAACATTGCACTGGAATTGTGCAAACAGTCATGCAGAAGTACATGGTAAACTGGCTCCACTGAGGACTGGCACATGCTTGCCTTCGTGGTGTACATTGTGCTAAATTAGATATGCTATTCATTCCCTCATTGTGAAAAGGGATAGAAAAATCTGAAATATCCTATCCATGCAAAATCCCTGCTTTTCAACCCTTCTTTCCGTTTCAAAACAGAACAAGAACAAAGGTGTCATCAGCTGTATTAAGGAACAGATTGAAAGTAATTATAATATTTACTTTCTATAACAACTCAAAACCCATTTGTAAACAAACAGTCACTTCTAAACACAGAGAACTGAAAAGTTTCATCTGGACTAATGAAAGACTTGTGGGTTTTTTTTCCTCCAAAAATCAGCAGGAAAATATAGTATTTTCTGAGAATGTTTTTTCTGCCCTTTTAGTATATAACAGTGTTCTTGAATGTCTAAGGAATACTAAACTGGCCAGACCAGAGTATAATCCTCCCTGTACATTTCAAAGGATGAACCATAAGATTAAAAAATTGCAGATATTATTATTTTGACCAGGAAAACAGTATTAAAAGAGTCAGAACCTGGGGTCCATTGATGATTTGTCCAAGTAACATCTAGATGCTTGTTTGGCTATGGCTGAGACAATATGGGAAATAAAAAACCAAAACCAAAAACAATACCACCACCAAAAAATACAAAAGCTCCCAAAAACCCCCAAAAAACCCCAAAGAAAACCCCAAAGAAAACCACAAACCCACCAAAAGAAAAAACCCCAAGCAAACAACAACCCTCCCCCCAACAATAAAACAAACAAACACAGAAACAAACAGAAAAATGTCAAGAAAAACCCAACAAACTTGATTGCTGTCAGTTACAGAATTTTCTGTAGCGTTGATGTTTCCCTTTGCTGTTGGCAAGATCTTGAAAGACACTACTGACAGTTCATCTTCCCTGCCCAGTGGCTGTCAGAGATTAATGGAGAAGCAGCAAGACCTCTCTGACCCAATGCAGTGACCGTTTGAAGCAAGACTGTACTGCGGATGCAGATGCCTGAAGCCCAATATTGTGCTTTGAAAAGCAAAGGACTAATTACTAGGATCTCAAATCTTTTTGAGATGACAGCGTAGTGGTGTTTCATTATCACAGCCTGACTGCAGTTCCCCTGAAACCCCGATGAACTGTGGTCCTACAGGACAGAGCTGGGGTGATGATCAGGCAAGTGCATGACGGCATTAACCTGTGAGAATAAAGAACGAGCGATGGCTCTGGTCATCATCTATAATGGTGATATCTTTAAGATCCTTTAACAATTGTGGCAGAGCTCTGCCTTTCCAGCAACTGTTAGACAGCATTGCATTTAAAGAGCTTGTGGTACATGATTAAGCTAAAACTATTGCAATGAAAATGTTCTCAGTCTATAGCAAGCAGTGGAGGATCATCATACCCCTTGTGAGCTGTAGTGGAGCAAAAGAACCAGACAGATCTGAAAATTTAAGAAATCCCTTGAGTTCCCAGGGAGTTGATAAGGTTTCAAAGCTGCTACAATAGCTCTGCTGCTGTACACATTCTCCCCCAGGTTCTTGCACCATAGCCAGCTGGTCACAGCACGCGTGTCAGTATTCAGACAGAGACTTTGTACAGCCCCTCAGGAAAACTGTGAACTTCGAACCAGGGAGGTGCACTGGTGGTATTAAAAAGATACTTTGATCTAATACCATTGGCTGTGGCACCATCTGATTTACTGCAAGCCATTTTAGGAGCATTACTCTTACTGAAGGAGTAGAAGTACCACACATTAAACAACCCCCACAATTTAAATATGTGTATTCACATTTCTCTGTTAGGTTCTGATTCCTTCTGAAAATAGAGCTCTTACTGACAGTGCTAACATGTGATGAAGCCGGTACTGGGCTCTAGTTTTCCTTAGCTGTTAAATGAAAAAGCAACAGATTCATAAAACTAACAGCAGCCGCTAGAAATCAGAAATTTCTTAGAGAAATCCAAGAATGTGTCAGATAGTAATTCCCTCTGTAAGCCAGTAAGCCATGACAAATGATCATCAGGACTAATAAAAAAGGCCAACACCTTTTTACATGTGGAAAACAAACAAACCCTTGTCTCAGTTACTCTTTTTGTTCCAAAATCCCTCTTGTTCCTTGGTGTGCCGAGCAGTCCTGATCCTGTAAGAAGTGAGTGGGCAAAAGTGGACTGGGACTTGCTCCTTTTCCTCTTGCTCTCCCTTCCCCCCGCCTCCAGCATGGACACCACCTGGGATCCCTGCCAGCAACAGTCAGCAAACTGGAACTGCTGTGCAGATTTGACATGAATTCCAGGCAGAGTACAAAGTCCTTATTCTTGAAATACTGGCATAACATGGCTACTGCCTTTTCTAGATTTCCTATCCAGTTTATTTTGCACATATTTGTATAAAATCTCTCACTGCTCTATTTCAGTGCTTTAAAAGAGATGCAATGAATAATAGCAAGAGATGCTATAAAGGGTTTTGGTTCTCCCACACAGCCTTTTCAGCCTTTGAGACGGGATAAAAGGATTGTCCTCCCTCTTTTCTTCTATCATGTTGTCTTTTTGTTTTTGTTGCATTTTCCAGAAAGGTAGACATACCTAAATTTTGTTTGCTTTCCCTACACCACAAAACTGAACATCTAGTCTCCACCCCCCTTCTTTCAGATTCTGACTCTGTTGTAATACATTTTACAGTTCAAAAGGTCTTTAGCAACTACATGGTTGAGCTCCTTCTATTTGCTGACATTTCTGTTCTCCAAGTTACTTGAATACAGTGACCTGCTGAATTTAAGACTGTGTTCTAGAGAAGTCAGTAGGAGCCAGTGAGGTGGAAAGTTGAAGCAGCTTAAACTATCAGATTCATATAAGCCCGTGGCAGGGATAACCCAGGCTGGAGATTTTTTATTTGTTGACCTCCTTGCACTTACAAAAATAACTGAATGTAGTATAAGTTGTCACATGGGGCTACTTTTACTTGCTTTGGGAAAGGTGGATCTTTGAACACTGTCAATAACATAAGCATTAATTTTCACCTGGCTTTGGTCCAAATTATGACTAAACTTTTTTTTCAGTCTTTCTAGACATTTACGTCGTTCTCAGCATGTGCTCACTACTGAAGATGTGCCCATGTTGGTGCTGGCATGACTTAAAAATCCAAACTGATATCCCACCACCCCTCCTCTCCCCCCAAAATCCCACACCTTTTCATTTTTCCCTGCTAACAAAACTATCTGGAAGCAAACATCTTGCATTCTATTCCTCACCACTGTGTTAGTGACCCAGTACAGAGATAACAGCTGTGATTGCAACAAAAAAAAAAGTAAAGAAGTAACACTGAAGCAGAAAGGAGATGACTTTTATCTCTGCAGTTTGAGCCCTGCAGTATTTCCTGCTCTGCAGCTAACCAGTTTTTCACTGTGCCTGAGCACAGGAAGCTGCTGTTTACTCCCTGTTCCCACAAGCAAATTCTCTGCCAGCAAAAACTTGAGTCACTGTGTGCTTTATACTGATGTTTTCTTTCCGGCTTTTTGCATGTCTGAGTACTAAAAGCAATCACTGGCATTTATTTAGCCCCTTTTTCCTTTGACAAGTTTTCTAAGTGAACTTAGAGTAGTGAAAAACATAAATATTGAAATGACCTACAAAATTTTGTAAAATCATTTCTATGCCCCACTTTGGAAAAAAATCACTAAGAGATAAGAAGAAAAGTGTCAGCCAACTAAACTAGCTGAACAAGTAAACTGTTTGCAGGGATATTTGATGGGGAAGCAAAACAACAAACCAACTACAATAACCTTTTTCCATTTACTAAATTCAACCACCAGTTTCTCTAGAATTCTAGCAGGATGCTTATAATGAATTCTGACTTCACCTACTCGTGCAAAAATACAGGCATTAATACATTTCAAAGCCCTAAAATCTGTGTAATTTCATTGCAAAATGCAGTGCAAAGTTGTCTTCTTAGAAATTCAGGCTAGGGTCACAGCACTGCAGGTTTTTGTTTTTTTTTTTTAGTTTTGGTTTATTTTGTGGGGGTTTTAACTAGTATTGGCATGATCTCTTTATACAAGTTATAGTTGGTAAAAATATGTATACTGCTACTGAATATGTTTTTTCTCCAATACTCAGATGAACTTGTTTTTCTAGGACTCGCATTGAAACAGTGCAAACTATTAATCCAAAACATTTTTATTAGCATCTTAAATTCAATAAAATTGCTTTTGCCAAATTAGTATGCAACAGAATCTCTTTCTGAAGAGAAAAATGCTTCTCTCTTTTTTGTAACTGTTGCAGAGGTATACTGCATGTCAACATTTTGTACTTCACAATGTCTGTTATGTAGGTAATTTTTACCCAGCTAAAGCTTCAGATCACAAGTTCACAACTTGAGGACACTCCCTTGCTAAATCAGATTCACTCCATCTCAAGTGTTGTTCAGCATCTCAACAATATTTCTGCAGAGACAACAGAGCAGTACAGGAAGCAGTAACAACTCAAACTACTATGTTTGGATAGAGTGCAGCCATGATTTGTGTACTACAGAGGCACAACTGCAAACATCTGGAGTTTTATGTGAACCTAGCATTTCTTACTGCTGCCTGCTCAGCACTGTAAACTAGGGTCTCTGCAGCATTTTCCAACTGTCTTCCTTGAGCAGGCATAATCTGTAGTCAGAGATTAGGCATGTACCTCTACAGTTTTCTCTTACATGTGAGACTGCAAAACCAGGATTTCCTTAAACCTTTCACGGTGGCAAAGAATGAAAGGGAAAACTTCTGATTGACATTGCTTTTTATTTTCTTTATTTTCATCCACTTTGCTTCCCAGAGAAAGAAATAATACAATTATTATCTGAGAGCTTTGTCAGCAGAGGACTCAGTACCACAGAACATGTCGCTAGAACACACACCTCACAAAATTTGTGTGCTGTCTCCTTCCTTATCACACCAGCAGAATGGGAATGTCCCACAGCACGGCTGCAGCCACGGCTTCCACACCACGTTGTACACAGAGAGCTGCTCTGGGACTGGAGTCAGTGTCCTGCGATGTTCTTCGATGGCTCTTCCAATCTTCCTTATGACAGTGTCAAAGAGGGGCTCAGTGTCAGCCGAGAGAGGTTTGGCTTCAGAAGGGTCTCGTGAGAGATCAAACAGCAATGGAGGGTCGTGATGGGTCACACCTTCCCCAAAACATGGGCAATTTTTTTTTCCATAACAAGCTCCAGCTCCAGGTGGATGAAAGACTGGAGTCACAAAATGAGCCTTCCAGATAGCTCCACCTGGCAGGAAAGAAATCTTATGACACAACTAGAAGACCGTAGAAAAAAACTGGAAAGTTCCCTGAAGCAATAGGAATAGAGCTATTTACTAAGGAGACCTCTTCTCACACACCCTAGCACCCTCAATACCACAAATCAGATTATCTGTGTAGCTACTGACTTTGAAGGTGGAAAACTCTATAAATATGAAAAAAAACACATTGAATTTCCAGTGTGGGAGTTCCAGTGCCTGTATTCTCATCCCACTTTAAGGCATTCCCTTTGTTACTTACAAAAACTTCATTGCTTTAATATATCTCTGGCTATCTAGTCAGTGATATGTCATGCATAACCATTTCAAGAATCTCAGTACTGAAAAACAACAGTCACACAAGAAACTTGTCAATTAGGAAGAGGAAAAAAATCATGTTTTGCGGTTACCATGGAACAAATATTTATACTTACTGTCCTTTTGGTGCCACCGCACTGCATGCAAGTAGGACCCACAATAGTGAAATAGAAACTCATGATCTGACTTTTGAGCTCTTCCTTGCAGTAAAGGCAGCAAGTTTTGTCCATCAATCACCCTAATGTAATGAAGAGAAGCACAGTCAGGCAGGAGCAAACCTGACAGTGAACTGCATACTTAGGACTGCTTTTGCATTGGCTGCGCTAGTGCTTGAGAGAGCATACAGAATAATTTGGTCATAGATTTAGAGCAGCCAGCAGACTGCCTAACCAATATTTACATACCTAGATTTTTTATCTTTTTTTTTCAGTTTATTTATTTTATTTCTTGTAATATCTGGCTCAACTGATTTCATTTAGCAGTACATAAACAATATTTAGAGCTTGGTCTTGCAGAAAGAAGTAATTTATTCCTTAAATCAATAGTGATCTCATAACTTAACATTTTGTGACTTTCAAGGGAACTTAAAGAAATCCGTTGAGCAAGATGGGTTTAACAAACTTAGGAGGTACTTGTAAGTGTCTGTAAATCAAGTCAGTTGGTGCCAAAACAACCTCAGCCACCAAATCTTTCCTGAATGAGGCTGAACCTGTGTTTGAAACTGGCACCAGGTCTTTGGAAGGAACAACTGCTCTGGCCACATGCATGCCTATATGTGTATATCTGTGAGAGTTTACTCACTAGTTTAAAATCTCAGGCTAGGCTTTAGGCTAAGGAGCATTTGTGGGATCTCCAAGGATGATAAGAAACAGTCAATTTTTAGTCATTAGCTCTCCAGTGGTAAACACCTCCATACCTGTCGTGCGGCAATATTCCTCCAGCCAGATGAACTACTGTGGGATAAATATCCATAAGACTTGTAGGTTCATCAATAACTGTGCCTGCAGGTAGTACTCCTGGCCACCTAAATATTCCTGGCACACGGATCCCTCCTTCCCAGCCTCCCATGCCTTTTCCGCCTGCAGTAAAATGAATCAACACATGGAACTGAGGCAAACACAAACCTCTTCGTTGGATTATTTCATATGAGTGCACAGAAAGAGATGCAGGAATACATTGCTTATCCAACAGATTCAACTCTTTGCTTTCTTTGGACTTCACATACTTCGTATTTCACATATTCACAGAAGAAAGGGCTGAGCAAGAGTTAAAGAGTGAGATCCTCTTAGACCAGAAAGACCATTTGGACTTTATGTCAATCACTGATTTTGGGTGGAATATAAAAGGATACAAAGAATAAATTGTTGCAGCCAGTCCTGACGCAAGGTGCCCTTACTCTATTCGGTTATATTTCAAGCTAAGAATGCAACTCATTCCAGCTTTGCTAGCTTCATCCAAGCAAATTCCTTGTTTCCGATTTTAACCTTCATACAAAGTTACAGTGATTTTCCTACCTTTATAAATACCATTCCAGCCACCTAGCTGGGCAGACCCATTCTGAGCCTCCAAGTGTCCTCCGTGATCAGAGGCAAAGTATGTGAATGTATGATTTTTCAAACCTTCTTCGTCAAGCAAATCCAGAATTTTTCCTTAAATTTAAGAAGACAGACAGCAAGGTTTCTATCAACAAATTGGAAAGAACAAGACACACTTAAAATGTTTCAATAATAATCTTTCACAGTGCCCCATAAGAATTTTTTGATAGCTTACATTTCTGTAAGTATTTTGCCCTTATAAGTTTTTTTGCTTTAAGATATACAGCTGTATGTGTCTGAAACATATCCTTCATGAAGAATACTTACCCACCATCCAGTCCATTTCTTCTACATTGTCTCCATATAAACCATGACAGCTCTTCCCAAGAAATTTTGCCGTAGTAAAGAGGGGGGTGTGAACATGTAAAAAGGAAACAAAGAGTAGGAATGGTCCTTGCCTGTTTCTTAAGAACAAAAAAAAAATATTTTTTGTGTGTGTTTGGAATATTTTGAAAGATTTCATATCTATGCACAGACACAGACACTGGGTATAGACTATACTCACATTTAGCATATCCTCACTGATCACAGATGAGTTCTTTTTGCATGAAATGTGGGCAAGAAAGATCCTTTTCAGACTGCTCATTTTCAATTTCCAGTGTGTACCCAGGCATAGAATTTGCACAGTGCTTACATAAATCAGATGCTTAACTCTGTTGACTTTTTAATTAAATGCAACCGGATACAGTCTCATGTTTACTTTAATACTCGTGTGGCTTTTTTAAGATGGCCACCTATAATTTTTATTATGTTTGTTTTCGCAAAGTAGAAGAGAAGAATAGTTTCTTTCCCTGTACTTCAAGACATTTGGTGCACAAAATATAGAAAACTGTGCAGGAAAAACTTGAATCTAGAAACTGAACAACCTTACTTGGCTTCCTTTTCAATCCATAAAAATAGATTTCAAGTGTTTTGATATTTTAACATGTAATAATTTCATGCATCAGACACATTTTATCTCAGTATTTTGTAAGGTTTATGAAAAAGAACACAAATGAGGCTTGTAAAATGAAGTGTAAAAACAAGCAGGTTCTCATGACACAGTTATAGTTACTAGTGAGAAAAACTCTATTCCTAAAGTACCCAGCACATCCCAGTTCCTTTACAGAAAACTACAGACCTTTTGATAAATGATATTGCCTCCTTCAGCATGAGGAAAGCAGTCCTCTCTAACCTCATTGGCTGCTCAGTGACATCGTGGTTCCTCATCAGGATACAGTTCCAATACTGCACAAAGCCATAACTGGAGTACCAAGAAATGAAGAAAAGGCTGCCCACCAACGTAACACAGGCAATTGTCTTCCAGCGGATGGAAATCAAACCAATCAGTTTTCCAGCAGTAAGAGTGAGCACAGCAAGGGTAATTATCTGACTGTAAAGCCAAAGCTTAGCTTGCAGGGCTGCATCCAGGTCTGGAGGTTTATTTTTTTGACAGTTGTTTCGAAGCGTTAAAGGCATTCCATAAAAGTAGTCAAACCCATGATTGAGAGGATGGTGACAGTGATCATTGAAGGATTCACAGTTTACACCTTGATGCCACTTTCCTGAAGGTTTTAAAGCATGAAAGAAATTAGAACATTGCGGTGAACAACTCAAAAGGAGCTCAAGGTAACAGTGTCAGCCTCTCTTTGGGAATTAGGTGAGTCACTTAGTTTTTCCACAAAATGTCCATGCATTCTCCTCATGCACAAGGATGCTGAGTGAAACCAGTGCCTGATCAGGTGAACATGATACTGTAACGGGTGATCCCCAACTGGTCAAGCAATAAACAGATAAATTTGTGAGATTCTCAACTACTGAGGTGACAAGGGTCACATAAGGATAGGATTTCATTATCTTTCAGTGAGGACCAAAGAATTAAGGTACTCTAACTTGGTGATGGCTTTATTATGCTCCCTAGCAAACTTTCAATTCATAGATTAACATACAGAAGATATAAATGAAAGATCCAGTAAACTTTTGGGCAATGTTGAAAAACATTTTGATCACCAGACTCAGGAAGAGGATTTCTCAAGCATGTCCCTACTTCACACGAAAAGAGAAAAAGCTGTAAACCAATGTCTTACTCTATCCCACCCAAAACATAAAAAGAAGCTGTTGTCTGCTTCTAAAGTGTGCTGAATCAAAAGACCCTTGGTTTGCCGAGTTATGTGATTGCCAACTGATTACAGAGACAGCCAAAAAGCTTGTGGTTCAATGCCGCCACATCTATTTCTAGCACTTGGAAATGATGATGCATTTGGCACAGCTGGCCCTAAATCACCCGATTTTAAAGGACACAGTGCTTACCCTATCTACCCATTTATGTGAAGGGATCCATCATGGAGTGCCTGTCACAATAAAATGTGACAGGAAAAAAAGTGAATGAAGGGAAAAGAAATTTTGCCAGTTGATTTTAGAGATATTTGGCAAAAGAACAACGAATCTTGAAACTGTTGTGTCTGATCAAAGTCACAGATAGGAAGGTGTTGTGGGACAGTGTTTCCCTGACACCTTTGCATTTTGGCTTCATCTGAGGAAACAGCCACCGTATCATGTCTCTGGGACTCAACAGCCTCATCTGTGAGGTGCTTGTGCTTTGTGATCTCCTCTGTGGTACAAACTTTGCTCCTTTCTCTTCCTTTCTCTTTTGTTTCTCTGCCTCTTGCCTCCTAAAGGCAGACAAAATACTTAAAGACATTATTTTGTTTGGAGCAGTCTCTATGTTAATAAAACTCACAAGTAAAATAAATGCTCACCATTATAATCATGAGACAGTTTTTCATTCTTCCTGTTTTGGGTAGCTTGTACAGGCATTACTATTGTGTTAAAACTGCAATATTTTTAGTCTTCTTTCAAAACATGGGGATTTTCACCCACTCAACCTTTTGGAGAGGATTTGTATCTGTGACTAACAGACCATTCCATGCTAAAACAATCCCTAAATTCCCTTCATATAACTAGTTCATTCTTCAAAGTCATGGTAAAACATTTTCCCTTACCTATCAGTCCAGTGGTATAGCCTTGTTGCTGCAGCAGCCTGGCAAATGTTGTCTCATTAGCAGGGAGCCCTCCTGACCCAGCGTTCCACTGCAGCGCTCGGTACCTGTTGCTGGATGCCATCCCTGATGGAAATTGCTGTGGTCAGTCCTGTGAGCCTTTTTATCCCTCCTGGCAGAGCCTGGGCTGCTCCTGCCAATCTTTGCATCAGGAGCTCAACCTCAAGCCAGCAGAGTTCCTCATGAGATATAAAGCAAAGCATGTCTGGTAGGCAGTCACATCCCATTATCAATAGTGTGTCTTAGGTACTTCAGGTACTCGGGAGTTGTATTGCAACACAAATATTGCTTGACACCAGTTTTGACATCAAATTGATAATAAATCAATGGTGATTGTATATAGTAAATTTTATTTTCTGACTTTTTGAGTATCTGTGAATAACAAACTAAACTAGGAGATAACAGTTGCATTTCCCTAACTCAGAGGGATGCTGTATCATGTTAGGCAGGAGACAGTTCACCAAACATACACACTGAGTTTGCACTTAGTTCTAAAAAGTAGGTATCTAATTTTCCTATATACTACCTAGTGAAAGATGAGTATCTATAAAGTTCTCCATAAAGCACCTTAGAAAGGTGGGGAATGAATCCAACCTCCATTTTCACTGGAGCTTTGTGACTTTGTGCAACATGTTGGCAATGAACTTGCCCATTTCTCTTGAGAACCCCATTTTAAACCCTTACTTATAACCATCAAGAGGGATTCTGGCAGGTTGCACCCCAGGGTGTGTTGCAGTAAGGAAGTGACAGGCATTACTGCTGCTGGATTTCTCCATACCTATTTATTTTCATTATTTAAATCTTCTACATCCTATAAAGTAAGGCTAAAGCTCTGTCAGCTGGAAAGAAACTTTGGGCATCTAGCAGTGCATTTTCTGTTTCAGGTTGAGAAAATAGCCTCAGTTCTCCTATTCCAGTACTTATTGGCTATTGTAGCTTCTCAGCACCAGGCAAAGAAATTCGTAATTCAAAATGGGCCAAACCTGATCTAATGGGGTATCTGCCAGTGAGGAAAGCTGCTCTGCTCGGAGTGCAAAGCGAAGCTGCAGCAATGTGTTGAGTAAGCTTCACTCCTTCTGACTAGCTATAAACATGACTGTGA